ATGTTTTATTTAAAAAACTGCATTGCCCCACTATTCCCCCACCTTTTCATTTTAAGCAGGCATATTTTAAGGGGGGTAAGGTTTGGGAGGTGAAAGTTATCAAAGACTGTTAAATAAACAAAATATTGCAAGGGTGTTACTGTTTTAAGCATGTTTGTATTTTAAGTTAAAAATAACATTTAATTGCTGCCTTCGACAACATATCTTTAATTTTGTTTGTGTCCTTTATAAAGTTTATATCTCCGCTACCTGGCATTACTTTTTATGACACACACGGCCTCGCCTGACAAAGTCCCATTTATGTCAGATCATAACAAATAATTCTGACACCCCTGCTATAGCTGATACAGCTAACTGCATAGTGGTATTGTGGATGAAGGGAAATGGCATATGGTGGCTTCATATTTTAGCAACTTACCAGTGACATACCCTGGACAGGGAAACGATTCCCACACTGCAGCTGGTACCTGTTGCGGGAGGGGCGCTTACACAAAAGGGCTCTTATATTTGCACTATACAAGGAGGATTCTCATTCTATCATGCTATAGAAGCTTTTTGATGTCCTTTGTATCTCTCTTACAGCTGGAACATTAACTCACATCTAGTGTTGCATAGCATGTTATTGATATTGTAGATATGCTCCCAAATTAATGTTAACTATAAAAAACATTTTCTAGAACAAATGCAGCTGATCAACTATTACCCTCTAAATTTTGTGAGACACACCAGTCAGAGAATACACCACTGATCAGGAGAATATGCTTACTATAAAGTTCAGAGCAGTAACAGCAAAAATATACTCAATTTGCTATTTCTCTAAGAAGAGATGGCCTTACGTACACTCATAATTCTGGAAACTTTTCACTTTGTAGCCCACAGCACTATCTACTATTCAGTAGTTCACTTGAGAAAATAAATGTCTAAATCTTTTAGTACAGTAGTTCTTCATGTTCACCACAACACTAGGCAAAGTCCCACCCAACAGCTTCAGAGGTTTTACATTCTTACTGATGCTCTCATTCTACATCTCAAAAAATCAAAAAGCGACCTCTTCCATTTTTAATTTTTTTAAAAATGTATGTGTTACAGGTCAGTATACATTCTCAGGGGTTTTTTATCAGTATACAAAATAACTCCTGAGAGTATTTAGAATACATAATCAATTCTGTTCATGTATGAAAGAAGCCTTCATAAACTTGAGAGGCAACATTTTGTTCTTGCAGTACTGGCAGACTTTAAGCATTTTTAACTTTGGATGGATTATGCTTTAATTCTCCCAGTGAAATAGACAAGTAACTCAAACTGCACAACTTCGGCCAGTTTACACCTTCAGATTATTTCAATAAGCAACTCACTCCACAGTGATACTGCCAAGTTTTCTTTCTCTGCATCTGAAGCCAGATTCAATTCCTTCACACACATGGCATCGCAGCTCCAGATTTGCTTCAACGCATCCATATGGGAGAGTGGAAACCGTAACCCATGAGTCTTTAAATTAAAAAAGCATTTGTTACAGATATCTGACTAAACAAAGCATTCAGTATCTTTTGCAAAATACTATATGCATGACACAGGCCCTTATGAACAAAATGAAGGACAAACCTGGGGTATTCCTTCTTCACTCGTATCTTCATCCCCCATCATGTGGGCTTCTCTCTTGTTCTTTAAGGAGTGATAGATGTAAATCATCTCTTTATGTGTATCATCCTATGAATCAAGACAAAAGGAGTATATGGATGGGCATTACAAGTTGAAGCAAATCTGAATCCCTCTGATACCCATAGAAGACGGCGACAGGAGCCTCACCAGTCATCCCTTGTGTGGGTAGCGACTACATAAAATTATGTAGTGAACTCCTCAACTAATGTCAGATTTGGTTATATATTTTTTTAAAATACTCAAGTCTAGTTTTTAAGCTCCTCCAAAAATACTTTCATGCCATTTCACCTTCACTTTTCAGAACCCAGCAAGTGTGTCACTACAATGTCATAAATCCCAGTCATGTGCTGTGGAATACAACTAAGTAGTCTAAAAATAACACACAGCCACTGTAACAAAGCAGAAAGCTTTACTGAAAATCTGTTCACTACAGGCATTCTCAGCATACGCACCGAAGGATCTTGATCTGGCTCCACTGTAATTACAGTGTACTCTTTAAACTGTAATCTGATTGTGCTGTCAACTCTGGGTATCTTGCCTCCTAAAAGGGAAAATATAAATGCATTACTTAATAGTGGGGAATGTTCCACTCTCAATTAAGAACAAGTTACTGCAGTCAGCCCTGAAAATATTTATTTAAAACCTTTGTGTGCCAGCTTTCTGCTCAATTAGGACCTTCAAGGTGATGAACAATTAGAAGGAAAAAAAATCACCTTTTAAAAATAGCACATATATTCAAAGTAAACAAGAAGGAGGGTCAGTAAGGGTACCCCAGACAAAATAGAACAAAGTCTTCATCTGCTGGTGGAAGACAATGATAAAGGGGACTAGACTAATCTCCCTGGGGAGGGAATGACCTAATTTCAGTACCATGATCGAGAATGCCCTTTCTCAGGTTGCCACCAGACTAGCCTCAGATGGCAGGGGAACCTGAAGCACAGCCTCTGAAGATAATGACCATGGTCAAGTATGTGTAGTTGGAACAAGGCTGAAATAACTGCCTGCATGAGAAGTCTAACTGCATGATCACAGTAACATCTAAACCCTTAATCTCCCATGGAAGATTGCACAGATAATTTCTTGTACAAGACAAAATACAAGACTTCATTTTGCCAACAATAGAAACAGTAACTGCAATCTTTTATGGGTACCTCCAAACATTAAAAAAACTGAAAATCTGGGGTACTGAGTACCAGAGGTCTGAGGGTAATTATTGAAGGAATGTTGAAGGTATATTGAAGTTGTATATATGATTCAAAAATTACCTCTGGTACTCAGTACCCCCCTTCGTTTCAGTTTTTCACATTTTCATACCTCTTTTTTGTACCTCCAAAAATAAACCAAAAATAAATTGAGAATCTTCAAAAATTTAGCATCTAGAAGAGGCCTTTGAGCAAATGAACACACATTACTTCATCTGTAGCAAACTGCTGCCATGTGACTGATTGATAAATAGTTGCACCACTGTATCTACCAAATGAACTAGTTCCTCACTCTCCATGGGAAAAACACAATGGTAAGTTTATTGCTTTTAAGTCACCTGGAGTCAAAGAATCCAGGCTAGTCCCCAAGAATGGAGGTAGTCTGTTCATAACGAAATCTTTTTTCATGTCAGATGACTTCAGCTCTCTGCCATTTTCCAGTTGGTCTGCAAGATGTCTCAGGAAACCACTTAATCTCTTAGATGATTCAGATAAATCCATTTTCTAAACAAGGAAACAAGATCATAATTCACTAGAGAAGGAAGTACAATCTCTTCAGGTTTTATACATTCTGGCTCTCAAGCTACCCTGAAGTCTGCTGCATAAAGAAAATAATTGTCATGAGGGTTTTTCTGGAACCAGCGCTTCCTTTAAATTTTTTTCATCCTAGGGCCAAAGTTTTAGATAAAATAAAGATCTTGAATGCAACCAATTGCCACACTGGAAATGTGGTTGGGAGTGCTGTATGAGTTTTGCTCACATACAACATAGCTTGCTTATCACCTGGAATGTGGTTGCTGTCAAGCTACAATCCGTAAACATATTAATTATTCCGGAATAGTTTAACCTAAATTTTAACGAGATTTTGGGGACTAAACATGGGACCTTATGCATGCCAAGCAGATGATCTACCACTGAGCCACAGCCTCTCCCAGAATCCCGGCTTCAAATCATCTGTATTGTTCTGAAAGTGGGGTGAAAAATCATAAGATCTGGAAAACAATTCAGGCCTAGTTTCTTTGCCCTACTTCCTTATCATGAAGCCTTCAACATTTATTACCCTCACAGTGACATCTGCATCATCAAGAAACTGTACAGTCATTTTCTTTACCAAAAAAAAATTCTAATAAAGCCATATTTAGTTTCTGGTATCTTTTTGAAGCAAAATACTTTGTATTTGCTCCCAGCTAACTGTGGCTCCTTTTTAAAATATCTTGATTGACTCTATTATGTTCCCATAATAAAGAGCTCAAGCTAGAAAGAGATATAAAGGAAAACAGGGAGCCATTATGGTGTAAAAATTAGTTTGTTGGATTAGGATTGGGAACACCCAGGTTCAAATACCCATGAATCTTGTTTGTTGACACTGGGCTAATTTACATTCACATACTTGCAGATTAACCTCACATGGCTGCTGTGATAATAAAATGGGAAAAGAAAAAACAACTCTTTGGATGAAGGGCAAGATAAAAAAGTACTTGATAAAACAGAAAAAATCAAGACTTAGCAGTCATGCTTTGGTGTCTCTCACAGGGCTTCTTCTTCTTTCTTTTTTTAAAGATCCACATTGTATATCACATCCTCTTCTTAGAGACAAAGCAATATCCCTTCCAAAAAAATTAAGCTTTTGAACTATTCCTCTGAGAGCAGCACACTCTGTTGCTTCCTCAGCCTTGTATCTTTACCATCAGTAACTGTCTTGGTATGCTCCTCCGAAAGTCAATGTTGTCTTTTGCTGATTCCAACACAAGTCCAGGAATGACATCCAACAAGAAATCTCTCCAAGAGCTGTTGTGCAAAAGGCATTAAAGAAATTAAGAAAGACAAGCAAGTTAATCTGAAGCAATGTTTCCTGTTGAAAATAAACAGCAGGCCCAATGGTCTAAAAACAGCTAATTCCAATCACTTAAATAATAAACTTCCTTATTTTATTTAGAAAATTTCTATGCTGCCTCTCTTGGATCCTGTCCGAGGTGGCTTTCAAAATAAAAATAACAGAACCAAAACATTGAAAGATATTCATTAAAATCCAGCGGGGGGGGGGGGGGGGGCCCCGAGATCCCGGAATAGGCCATAAAAACAGACCACGAATATCTTAAAATAACCGTTTCAAGAGTAAAATAGTGTTTTTAAAAAATCAACACCTCAATTAAAAGCCTGGGTGAACAGAAATGTTTTGGCCTGGTGCCTAACAGAAAGCAACACAGGCACCAGGTGAGCCTCAAGGGGAAGGACATTCCATAAGCTAGATGCCATTGCCGAAAAGCAGTGTCTCTGGTTGCCACTCACCTCACCCCTGAAAGTCGGGGCACAGAAAGCCAGGCTTATAAGGCAGCTCCCAACTGGGAAGGTAGACAATGTGGGAAGAAGCTGAACTTACCTTTGTCTTTAAAGGTAAGAACCAGCACGTTGAATTGCTACCAGAAACAAACAGGCAATGAAGTTCTTTCAACATTCACATGATATGACCCCAGTATCCCACCCCTGACAATAGCCTGGCTACTGCATTTTGTACAATCTCAAGTTTCCAGACCATTTCCAAAGGCAGCTACAGATAAAGCACATTACAGCAATCTAACCTGGATATATTCAAAGCACAGATTCACTGCTGCCAGATCATGCTTTCTGAGGAATGGCCACAGCTGGTGAACCAACCAAAACTGATAAAAGGCACTACATGCCAAGTGTAGGTCGCAGCAGAATCCCAAACCTGATCCTTCAGGGGGAGTGCAACCCCCTTCAGGACAAGCTGGCTCTTCAGTCCTCTACCAGGTTTGCAGCTAGAGCAGGTAAAGCATCTGCTTGGCACGCAGAAGGTCCCAGGGTCAATGCCCAGTATCTCCAGTTAAAAATCTGGCAGTAGGTGATGTGAAAGACCTCTGCCTGAGACTCTGGAGAGTTCTGCGAGGTAGCAGGTCCTGCTCCAGTGACAAAGTGTCTGGAACAAGAAAATAAACAGGCGAGTTTAGCAGACGTGTGAAGAGAGGACAATCACTGTCAGAACCCTGCCTAACCTAACAAACAGGAAGTTGCTTAAATGTTATCAACCTGCCCAA